AGTGCAAATGTAAAAAGGATCATCATATTCGACCATATTCTGAAATTCTTAATGAAAGAAATCAAAAATGTAAACAATTAAAGATGAATACTTTTTTCCGAAAAATATAAAAAATTCGAAACTAAAATTTTTAAATAAAAACATTTTACTTTATTTTATGATAAAATACATTTTAAAAATTAAAAATTTATATGTATTTTGTATTATATTGTATTAATAAACAAAATTATTAGCTTATTTTTCACTTATGTAGAACCTAACCCTATACCTCACAGTAAATACAGCCGATTCGATTTGCGCCGGCTTTTATAGGAACGGAACTGTGGCGTAAACCAAGGGCTACCTGTACATATAACTTCAAATGTACAACAGTGTAATTTATTAATCCAACATCCACTAATCTAGAATGTCCAGAAATCTGGCATCCTCTGAAAAGTAGCCAATAACCTGGAATTATCCAATAATATCCTGGAATAATCTAGTATGCTATTATTTCACAAGTTAGAATATTTAGGAGGACCTCAAACTTCTACACAGTATAATTCAGTAAACTATGCATAGTCTATATTGTATTGAACTGAACAAGCATTGCTTTGTTAAAGCTAGCACATATGTTTTGCACACAGCCTCTGAGAGGTTGAAGAGCTATCAGTGCAAAGACCAGTCTGGACCCCTTTTTGGAAAATCTGCTTATATAAGTAACAAACAACATAATGATATTGAAGCAGAAAAATAATATAGTATAAATCTTAGCCTGTAGCCAAAGTTATTTCATTACAGTAATACCCCAAACTTATGCGATAGGTGGAACCGAGCAATAACCGCATAAGTCGAATTCACGTAAGTCAGGGTATAATTTTGCAATTTGTGTAAAATCCAAGTCGGATGTATATAAGCTAATAAATGTTCTCATTAATCTTATCTTGTCTTTTGATTCATTCATGATTACAAGAAATCACCACATAGTCTCTCAAGTCTCTGTAGATATAACAAACAGAAATAAATAACACAAAATAAATTGTAGCTATGTGTCAATTCCGCATGACACATCCAAACATGTAAGCTGAACAATAGTGTGGGGAGAGTGAGTAATCAAGAGTTGCATGGCACTCAAACAAAAGATGAATCACCGAGATTTGAAAATCGTGTAACTCCGGGTTTGCATAAGTTGGGGTAGCGTAAATCGAGGTATTACTGTATTTGAAAAAAATAAAGAATTTTTAAAATATTATCTCTCTGATAGGCCTCCTTTAGAGGTCAAATCAGAGGAAAGCTCAAGGATCCTAGGGCTGTGTCCCAGCTCACCACCTCTCATAGAACCTGGTTTTGTATTTAGTAATGTGTGTGACTGATGTATTTCCTTTCTCACAGGCAAAATGCAGTGCAAAACATTCAAAATGTGCAAAAAATAATTTTTTACTGTCCGGCACTCTATTTTCATTTGATGTTGAGAAAGTTAAAAGTAACCTTCAAATAGAACTTGTTAAAATTCAATGCAATACAGTGCCAAAAAAAAATATAACAAAGTTATTGTTCCAATTTTTATTCCTACTTGCAACTCATTTTTCTGAAATGTGCATACTTACTGCAAGAATCAATAAGTTTAATAGTACCAATCTATGTAAACAATTATTTTTGTACCTATTAATTATTTTTAAAAATTCATATAGAATGAGAATAACAATTTTAATCCACATGTAAACAAAAACAATCATTTCCATTAAATTACCAGATTAAAGAAAACACAAAAGAATCAAATATTTATACATTATTTTGAGATTTTTTTTATTAACTTGCATTTAGGATCAAATTTTTTCTTTTTAATGTTATAATAGTACAGTGGGTAATCGGTTAACGAACATAATCCATTCCAAGACTTTGTTCGTTATCCAAATTGTTTGTTAACTGATTATCGATTTACCATAGGTTTTTTATGGGAATTTGATTAATTCATTCCGGAGAAAATAAAAATATATATATATTTTTACTACGTTTATTTATATGTAATAATAAAAATACATATATATACAGTCTTGCATTTTTATTAGTCATGTTTTTTCTGTTTGTAAGGGTTAAAGAATCTGTCCAATGTCGATTGCTTTTCTCTTTTCTTCAGGATTTTTCAAAAGTAATTAATAGCATTGTTGTCGTAGAGATCCCCAAGCCTATTAACCTCAAACTGGTTTGGATGCCATTCTAAGACCATTGTTCTGACATCCTCCCACTTCTTCAAAAGATCTTTAATAGCAGATGTTGGCATTGATCCTTTTTCATCTTCCTCTTTTTCAGAAGAAAACATATCTCGCTGAGTTTCTTGGTGTTCTTCATTTAAGCGTTCTTGGAGTTTTTCTGTCGTCAGATCAGTTTCAGATTCCATTATGAGCTCTTCAATGTCATCTTTATTTACTTCCCATTCCAGATCTCTAGCAGTTTTCACAGTTTCATCCATAATTTCAGGAACATCATCTCTCTCTCTCTGAATGCAGAAGGGACACAGCTTTCGCCAAGCAGAATTCAACTGTCATTGAGTGACTTCTGACCATTCCTTTTGAATGAGCCGTATAGCTTCAAGAATATCAAATTTTTCTTTCCAAAACGTTTTTAATGTCATTGTTGAGGAGAACTGGCATGCTTCAAAACACTGACAAAACAGTGCTCAAATGTACAATTTCTTGAAACCTGCAATAACCTCTTGATCCATTGGTTGAATCAATGAAGTGGTATTTGGAAGTAGAAACTGAACTGTCAGCCAGGGAAAGTCTTCCAGCAAATTATCTTCAAGGTCTTTTGGGTGTCCTGGTGCATTGTCCAATAGCAACAGTGCTTTTAATGGCAATTCATTGGTCTGAAGGTAATCCTTGATGCTCAGAGCACAAACTTCAAACAGCCATTCTTTGAAAAGAGCCTGCGTGACCCATGCCCTTTTATTCGATCTCCACATCACTGGCAGTTTTTCTTTAATTATGGAATTTTTTTGAATGCTCTAGGGTTCTCAGAGTGATAGACAAGAAGCAGGATAAGCTTCATATCACCGCTAGCATTAGCTCCCAAAAGTAACGTCAATTGGTCTTTCATGGGTTTATGCCCAGAAATATTTTTCTCTTCCTTCGTAATGTAGGTACAGTTCAGCATGCGCTTCCAAAATAAACCAGTTTCATCACAACTGAAAATTTGTTGTGGACAATATCCTTCTTTTTAATGAGTTCTTCAAATTTGGGACAGAACTTCTCAGCTTCTTCTTTATCTGCACTAGCAGACTCACCATGAATTGCCACATGTTTAATGCCAGTTCTCCTTCTAAACTTTGAAAACCATCCAGTAGTAGCTTTGAATTCTATCTCCTCATGTAATGAATGTGGAGTTTGTTTCTTCAGTTCTTCAAAAATTTCTCTAGCTTTCTCTTGAATGATAGTCATACTAGTTACATCTCTTTTCATTTCCCTTTCTTTTATCCAAATTAAAAGCAATCTCTCCACTTTTTCATGGATGGAACATTTTTGTTTCTCAGATGTGATTTTCGTTACTCCTTTAGCTCTGAGTCTTCTTGATTATATCTTTCTTGGCTAAGATTGTGCCTACTGTAGACCTGTTCAAGCCATACTGCCTAGCAACATCAAACATCTTCTGCCCACTCTCTACTTTGGCTATTATCTCTTGCTTGGTTTCTATGGTGAGCACAGTTCTTGACACTCCACTCTTTTTACGCTCCATAATATTATCAATTTCTGTTTGAAATAAAAAGTTCAAAAAAGCACTCACAAAAATTCAGAGAACAGAAATCAACTAGAGCATGAAAGAATTATGTAAATGTGAGGCCCGAATGAAATTCAAAATTTTGGTATTAAAACATTAACGAATACCCGATAGGACAGTTAAGCTCTCACCTTTAGAAAATAAAAACCGACGCAAAACTTATGGAGTGCCCGACAGTCTCATGAAGACTATAAAAAAATTATTTGTTAGAAAAGTAAACAAAAAGCTGGAATTACAATGGAGAGTTTCAAAGTTCGGGAAAACACTATCCAATCGGCATCAGGCTGAGCGTCGATGTTAACATCGCCCGCACTCCGAAAAATTTCGAATTGTTACCTGAAGACAAGGGAAAATCAATCGGCATTCATTATTTTCTGTCGCTTCTTTTTATGTTTGTGCAGTGAAGTGTTCATTGTCCGATCATAAAAATCTTTCGCAAAAGTGTTCGTTATCTGATTTGTTCATTAGCCGATCTGTTCATTAACTGATCACCCACTGTATTTGAAATAAAAAAATGGTTTCATACAAATGACAATTATTGGTACATTTCATGACAGTTACTTGTCATGAAATGTACCAATAATTTATGAATTAACATATGAATGTCAATTACTAAATTTTGTGTACAAATAACAAAAAACTTTTTCTGAATAATATTTGTTTTCTACAAACTCAAGTAGCATTTCAAAGTAAGTTTTTTTTCGTTTGTTTTATGCAGAACATTATTATAATGTTTTTACGATTTCTTATATCTTTATAAAGTGCAACATGCAGAGAAAATGAATATTGTCAGATTTTTAAAACTGTCAAACCTTTATGTACTACTCAATGTAAAATCTATCATGATAGGTTACAGATCCAAGTTCTGAGTGCTACTTCAAAGAGTCAACTAAAGAGAGCTATTGTACCTGAAATATACTGACAATATATTAACTAATGAAAGTGATGAATAAAGTCTGTTCAGTAGTTTGATATTTTAGTAATACCACTCATTGTGTTCTAAAAAAAATATTCACTTACAGCCTACCAGTTGCATTTTAGAATTTTTAAAATTAATCTCCAAGAAAGCAAATAGCTCTATCTGTTTTGAGGAATTTGGAGAAACAAATTTTCTTAAATATTTTTAATTATTTTAGTTTTTTCTAAATAAAAATCTAAATTATGTATAAATGTACATGGTATGTAACTATTTTAAAATAAATAAATTAATAAAAATTTTAAGAAAATTTTTTAAAAACTATCAATACCTAAACAGGTTGGAAGACTACTAACAGAACAGCTTCCTACATCTTTTCTCCTTCTAACAGAACAAGTCATATGAATGAAGAGAGGAGGAAGTTGACTACTAGTTTCTTGTGTAGAATTAAAATGTTCTTCTTCATCTAATAATGAAGACAATGCACTCTGAGTTCCTTGAGTATGATTAGAAACATTACTTAATCTTTCTATATCTTGATGATCCATCACACATTCATAAATCTCAATATCAATTTTTGTTGCATGCATACTTTCTGTTTCTACAAATAAAAAAATAGTAATCATTATTGTAGAGAGTTTAACACCAACAAAAATAAATTAATAATCAAAAAATATACAAAGTATTCAAGAAAATATATAAAAAAAATATATCATGATAAACCAATGATAAAGATTCCTTTATCATTGGTTCATCATGAAAATCATTAAGACAATAATTTTTGCAGAAATACCTTATAATACATAAATCTACAAGTTGGATATTGAAATCATATATAAATATTTGAATTATGAAAATAAAAAAAATTCATGTTTTTTAATAAAACATTGAATGTATGCAATTATTAAAATACAGTCGACCCCCCTATAACGTGCGTTCCTATAACGGAAATTCCTATAACGTAGCGAAAAAATTGCAGCAACATTCATTTAAAGGAGCTCCTAAAACGTCATCGCCGACTCGTTTCGCGACAAGATTGATAGAATCTGGACCAATAGTGGATGAGCAGCCGAACTACTTTCCTCCGCCCTGCGCCACGCTACAGAGCAATTAAATTGAGTTTGCTATCGTCTGTACAGTATTATATATAAATTAGGTACTGTACATATAATTATATATTAATTATATATAAATTAGGTACTGTACATATAATTATATATTAATTATATATAAATTAGGTACTGTATATATAATTATATATTAACTTATTGTAACTTTATTATAATTAAATATATAATTTCCGCCGTCTAGCATGGCACCACGCTACGGAGATTTTAGGCAATAAGTTGAGTTTATTATCGTCTGTACAGTATGTAAATTAGGTACCGTAAGTCTAATACAGCACTAATTTTATACATTTCTTGTGAAAGAAACATTTTTTATTCAACGGCCATAAAAATTATTTATATTAATGATGTCTTCAAAGGTCAAGTTATTTTTCTGCGAAAAATTCATTATCAGAAATCGCGGCCGTCGTTTCGTGTGCTGTTCCGCGACGAAAACAAGCTTTGAGCAACGGCATAGTCGAACGGTACACACTCGGTAAGTAATCCTATAATTTTTTGTTTATAGCATAGTTTATACAGATTATTCCCAAAAAATTGTACGTGTTTTGGAAATGTTGAGTCGGATAGTCTAGAATTGGTTAATTTTATAGAAGAAAACCTTTCAAACAGCCTTAGTCCGTAAACTTCCCACCTATCGGGCTGCGATTGGCTCATGTATTTAATCATTCCTATAACGTAAAATTCGATTAACGTGGAACATATCTAAGCATTATAGGGGGGTCTACTGTATTATAGATTATAAAAAGTGCAAACCTGTCAGTGCTGAACCAAATAAAACCCAATTGATTACTAGAAGTAATTACCGTATATCCCGGCAGATAAGACAAGGTATAAATTTTTGTTGAAGTTTTATATAATGCTTATCATATATCTGTCCTATAAGACAACCCCTAAACTATCAGTGGCCTAGGAATTTAGTTTAGATCAGCGATCATCATCCTAATAATAACACTGTATAGTGTATGTTGGAATTATGTCCTATTCATAATTTTTTGAAAGAACATCAAATTTTATTTTCTTGCATCTGGCAGCACTGCCTTGCAATTGTTGCAAACATTCACACTGATTTAGGTATTTGGGTAATGACCTTGACTATTCACAAAAACGTCATATAGGCTATTCTATTTTGTGGACATACCTTACTCTCTAATAGTAAATAATTACGGTTTATCTGTTTTACTTTAATGGTTTTAATTTATATAAATTTCAATCTAAATTTTTTTGTATCTGTCCTATAAGATGACCCCGGATTTTGGGGACCATTTTTTTTTTATGATTCAACTATCGTCTTATCTGCCGAGATACACAGTACTTTAAACAATAACTCATATTTCAGGGACTAAAGTATGCATTTCATGAGATTAAAAAAAAACTAATTATACTTAACAAAATTCAAGGAAATAAGAAAAGGAAGAGACACAAGATGAATAAAATAAATCAGATGTTATTGGAATAAATTTGGAAAATCTACTAGACATTACTAGAGATCCTACTATCTGTTACTGGTTCAGTTTATTACTGCTAGATTTGCTGATTTGAAGCTTTTGGATCTTTCTAACCCTTTATCAAATAATTACCAAAGTGACTTAACAGAATCTAATAACAGTATTTATTTCATTAAATACAAATGTAAAAAAATTATTTATGTTTAAAAATGTAAGTAATGAAATACCTTTAATTTAGTCTATTAATCTGTAAAATTGAATATAAATTATTTTATATAAACTGTTATTAACATCAAAAATCACAATTTTTTCTTTATAATATGCATTAATAAAAATTTTAAGAAAATTTTTTAAAAACTATCAATACCTAAACAGGTTGGAAGACTACTAACAGAACAGCTTCCTACATCTTTTCTCCTTCTAACAGAACAAGTCATATGAATGAAGAGAGGAGGAAGTTGACTACTAGTTTCTTGTGTAGAATTAAAATGTTCTTCTTCATCTAATAATGAAGACAATGCACTCTGAGTTCCTTGAGTATGATTAGAAACATTACTTAATCTTTCTATATCTTGATGATCCATCACACATTCATAAATCTCAATATCAATTTTTGTTGCATGCATACTTTCTGTTTCTACAAATAAAAAAATAGTAATCATTATTGTAGAGAGTTTAACACCAACAAAAATAAATTAATAATCAAAAAATATACAAAGTATTCAAGAAAATATATAAAAAAAATATATCATGATAAACCAATGATAAAGATTCCTTTATCATTGGTTCATCATGAAAATCATTAAGACAATAATTTTTGCAGAAATACCTTATAATACATAAATCTACAAGTTGGATATTGAAATCATATATAAATATTTGAATTATGAAAATAAAAAAAATTCATGTTTTTTAATAAAACATTGAATGTATGCAATTATTAAAATACAGTCGACCCCCCTATAACGTGCGTTCCTATAACGGAAATTCCTATAACGTAGCGAAAAAATTGCAGCAACATTCATTTAAAGGAGCTCCTAAAACGTCATCGCCGACTCGTTTCGCGACAAGATTGATAGAATCTGGACCAATAGTGGATGAGCAGCCGAACTACTTTCCTCCGCCCTGCGCCACGCTACAGAGCGGNTGTCGCCATCTAGTGAAGAGAGAGAGAAATATAGACAAAAATCCATTGCAGTTTTATTTAATTAATAAAACATCTGTAGGTTTGATTAGTGGTAAACATTCCAGGGATCATAAAGATGCTACAGTTAAAATTTGGTAACGATTAGTTCAGTAGTTTTCACGGTTAGTGGTCACAAACGAAAAATACATTGTCTCTTTATTTAGTAGTATAGATACTGTATTTATTAAGGTTTATACCTAAAAATAGCATGTTAGAATTTGTTCATTTTAATAATTTATCAAGAACAAAATGACAGCTTATAAAGTAATTTTTTAACGAATATTTTTCTTTTCTTAAAACAAATGTTAGTTTATTTATAATTAATTTAACTATTTTCTAGGCAATGAATTTTAATATTTATGTCATGAAATAAGTTTTATTATTTGAATTTTTTTATTTAAGATACTTATCCTAATTGTGATTTTTTCAAGACAGTTTTTATATATTGTTTGAAATATTTGTAATGAAGAGAGTGAAAGCATTTGTATAATTATAATAAATTTTGCAAATTAAATATATTTTGACTATACAAACACTTTCACTTTTTTATTATTATTAATTATAATCATACAAAGTTTTATATAAAATTTATTTTTTATTTATTTACATTTTAAGATATATTTTGTGTTTCATAATGATTACATTGAGATTTATTAATAATATTAAATTATAATAAATTTTGTTTTTAGTTTCCAGTTGTGAATGAAAATCAAGAAAAAATTTTGGAAGATAGAGAAAGTACTGTTGCTCATACTGATATAAATGAAGTTTCATCTGAAGTAGGATTAATATCAGAAGATATAGAAGGTTAATATTAAAATACTTTTTAATTTGCAATTTATATTCTGTTTATTTATGTTGTTATTTCTAATAATTTTAAGTAAACAAAACAAAAAAAAGTGGCTTAAACACAACATTTACATTTTCTTACTACCAAATTCCAACAAAAGAAAAATTGTGTTATAATAGGTGTGACTTATTGTAATTGTGGATATTTTTATCAGTTGTCTAATATTAGAATGATCATGTCTCAAAACATATAAGTTAAATAACATTACAAAACTTTTGCTTGTTTTAATTGAAAATTTATCAATACTTATAATAATGATCAGAATTAAATTCAAATTAAATCATTCAATTATATAAGATGTTTACTCTTAATACATTAAAACATTCATTTTAATTTTTCAATCAGTACTGTATAAATTGCAGTAGTTTAAATTTAGATTCTGGTACTTGTTACTTCATTTATAGGATAATTGTTTGCTGTTGTCAAAGATTGTGATTTTCATTACTGTTTAATTAAAGTACAATAAAGGACAATTGAAAAACATAGGTGAAAAACTGAAATTGTATGATACATTATGTGACAGATTATTTCTCCTTATGTGCCACTTTGGGTAAGTATACCATAGGTTTGCTACCCCTGATCTAGGATCTGATAAGACTCGATCTTTTTGACTGAAATTAACCGTCTTTTGATTATTTATCATCACCACTTTATTAAAACCAAAACTAAGTTTTGGTTTTAATAAAGTTTAAAAATGTAAGCAATGAAATACCTTTAATTTAGTCTATTAATCTGTAAAATTGAATATAAATTATTTTATATAAACTGTTATTAACATCAAAAATCACAATTTTTTCTTTATAATATGCTTTTTCTCTTGAACAAGCTAATTCATAATCAAAATTAATGTACACAATATTTAAATTTAAATTAATCAAAATTAATTTTGATTATGAATTAGCTTGTTCAAGAAAAAAAGCATATTATAGAGAAAAAATTGTGATTTTTGATGTTAATAACAGTTTATATAAAATAATTTATATTCAATTTTACAGATTAATAGACTAAATTAAAGGTATTTCATTGCTTACATTTTTAAACTTTATTAAAACCAAAACTTAGTTTTGGTTTTAATAAAGTGGTGATGATAAATAATCAAAAGACGGTTAATTTCAGTCAAAAAGATCGAGTCTTATCAGATCCTAGATCAGGGGTAGCAAACCTATGGTATACTTACCCAAAGTGGCACATAAGGAGAAATAATCTGTCACATAATGTATCATACAATTTCAGTTTTTCACCTATGTTTTTCAATTGTCCTTTATTGTACTTTAATTAAACAGTAATGAAAATCACAATCTTTGACAACAGCAAACAATTATCCTATAAATGAAGTAACAAGTACCAGAATCTAAATTTAAACTACTGCAATTTATACAGTACTGATTGAAAAATTAAAATGAATGTTTTAATGTATTAAGAGTAAACATCTTATATAATTGAATGATTTAATTTGAATTTAATTCTGATCATTATTATAAGTATTGATAAATTTTCAATTAAAACAAGCAAAAGTTTTGTAATGTTATTTAACTTATATGTTTTGAGACATGATCATTCTAATATTAGACAACTGATAAAAATATCCACAATTACAATAAGTCACACCTATTATAACACAATTTTTCTTTTGTTGGAATTTGGTAGTAAGAAAATGTAAATGTTGTGTTTAAGCCACTTTTTTTTGTTTTGTTTACTTAAAATTATTAGAAATAACAACATAAATAAACAGAATATAAATTGCAAATTAAAAAGTATTTTAATATTAACCTTCTATATCTTCTGATATTAATCCTACTTCAGATGAAACTTCATTTATATCAGTATGAGCAACAGTACTTTCTCTATCTTCCAAAATTTTTTCTTGATTTTCATTCACAACTGGAAACTAAAAACAAAATTTATTATAATTTAATATTATTAATAAATCTCAATGTAATCATTATGAAACACAAAATATATCTTAAAATGTAAATAAATAAAAAATAAATTTTATATAAAACTTTGTATGATTATAATTAATAATAATAAAAAAGTGAAAGTGTTTGTATAGTCAAAATATATTTAATTTGCAAAATTTATTATAATTATACAAATGCTTTCACTCTCTTCATTACAAATATTTCAAACAATATATAAAAACTGTCTTGAAAAAATCACAATTAGGATAAGTATCTTAAATAAAAAAATTCAAATAATAAAACTTATTTCATGACATAAATATTAAAATTCATTGCCTAGAAAATAGTTAAATTAATTATAAATAAACTAACATTTGTTTTAAGAAAAGAAAAATATTCGTTAAAAAATTACTTTATAAGCTGTCATTTTGTTCTTGATAAATTATTAAAATGAACAAATTCTAACATGCTATTTTTAGGTATAAACCTTAATAAATACAGTATCTATACTACTAAATAAAGAGACAATGTATTTTTCGTTTGTGACCACTAACCGTGAAAACTACTGAACTAATCGTTACCAAATTTTAACTGTAGCATCTTTATGATCCCTGGAATGTTTACCACTAATCAAACCTACAGATGTTTTATTAATTAAATAAAACTGCAATGGATTTTTGTCTATATTTCTCTCTCTCTTCACTAGATGGCGACACACGAATTAATACTTTCTGTCTATAAGAAAAGTTTATTATTGAAGTTTACTATTATATTTGAAGAACTGACATTAAATTATAATTAGTTAATTAGCAAAATCTTCGAGAAATTAAAAAAGTAACGTCATCATGCTAGATGGCAGTATGTGTACTTATGGTAGGTTTTTGAATCGTTATGCATTAATTTCTGCAGGTAATCGAACAAAATATTCGAAATAGTTATTGGATTTATCTTAAATGAATATTTTTGAGATTGATTGATAAATAATGCCAAGAACTACGAGGCAAGATAATAATAACCTTATTCAGAGTTTCAAAATTATAATGGGTTTTTACATATAATATAATTTTTTGTTTATAACATAGTTTATACAGATTATTCCCAAAAAATTATATGTGCTTTGGAAATGTTAAGTCAAATTAGTCTAGAATTGATTAATTTTATGGAAGAAAACCTTTCAAACAGCCATAGTCCATAAACTGCACACATGCTGGATTGTGATTGGCTCATGTATTTAAGGATTCCTACAACGTGAAATTCTTATAAAGTGGAACATATCTACTGCGTTATAGTGGGGTCGACTGTACCGTACGAATCTCTGAATCATTATGACAATTAAAAAACAGAATTTTCATGTAAATGAATGGAATCTCAAGTACTTATTCCTTGTTATTTATTTAATTTTCCTTTTAATATATAATTATTTTCAAAATATTGGAAGATGAAATTTTATATTTTAAATTCAAAAACAAAATTAGTTAGTTACAACTCTGTTTCTATACCTAACTTATCTATAAGAAGAGTAAATGTAGTTATCTGTTAATTACAACTTTGCCTATTTTATTATGATTCAAAATATTATTCATTATAACTTAAATTATAACTTGAATATTTACATATTATTTATTATATTATTTTTAATTCCATTTATTGTAATAAGTAAAAAATTAACATACCACTTCATTATCTAGAAAACATGGAGGACAAAAATAATAAAAATCCGGTAAAGATGGAATTGGTTTGAAAGAATGTTGAAGTATCTGCAAGAATTTATTTTTAATATCTGAATGAAGTTGCTGCAATGGTTCACATGGTTGGTGACGTTGGAGTACTTCCAATGGAAAAAGCTTTTCATTACTTAAAAAAAATAATAATAAAATTATTATTTTAAAATTATTCTTATTACTTTGCACTAAGTTATAACAGAAATGAAACAAAAATAAAAAGTTTTTTTAAAAAGTTTTCACAGCAATAAACAATCATTAATAAAAACATATTTTATTCCTTAATTTACAATAAAAAATCAAGCTCTTCGCATATACTGTACATACATATATACAGCTTTTCTTAATACATGCATGGATATTTGTACATACAAACAATATTCTTTGTACTGGTAATAATGTTGCATATTCCTTTTAGTAAAAACTACAGAATCAATCTTATTTGGGGGATTATTCAGGGGACAAGACGGGCAGACATTCAGATCTCCAATTTGAATGAAACTTGGTGAGCATGTAGCCCTAAACACAAACAGTCCTTTGTCCAAATAACAGGACCTACTTCTCAAGCATTTTTGTAAAACAGATCTTTGAAAATTGAGTGTTTAGCTTATAAGTCTTTGAAATTTTACTTCTTGTAACAGTGATAGCCAAGTGGATAAGATGCTAGGTACTGGATCTACACAATGTAGGTTTGAACCTTTGCAATTTTAGTTTTTTTTTAATGTGTAACAAAATTGTTTTTATTATTTTACCATATCGTTAGCATTATTATTATTCCTCATGTTTAAAGCTAAAAAAAAAAAAACTAAAATTGCAAAGGTTTGAACTTACATCATTTAGATCTGATATACAGCAACTTATTCATTCAGCTAATGCCATTACAAACTTCCAAAAACTTATAAGCTAAACACTAAATTTTCAGAGGCCTGTTTTTCGGAAATGCTTGAGAAGCGAGCCCTATCATTTGGACAAGGGGCTGTTTGTGTTTAAGGCTACATGCTCAAATCAGAGACTTGAACATCTGGCCTTCTCCTTGTTACATTTTCATTAAACTGTTCTAGAAGAAAAGAACAGTATAGAAATCTTGTGTATAACTGAAAAATTTTTTTCTTTCTATATAAATTTGAATGAATCTAGTAACTATAATATCACATAAATAAATAGCTCTCATAATGATATGATTACAGTTAGCCCTCGGTTTACGCCGCAGTTCCGTTCCTACAAAAGCCGGCGGAAAATGGAATCGGCATAAAACGAACCCATATTTACACTGAGGTATAGGGTTAGGTTCCACATAAGTGAAAAATACGCAAATAATTTTGTTTATTAATACAATATAATACAAAGTACAAATAAATTTAATTTTTAAAATGTATTTTATCATAAAATAAAGTTAAATGTTTTTATTAAAAATTTTAGTTTCCGATCTCTTACATTTTTCGGAAAAAGTATCCATCTTTAATTGTTTACATTTTTGTTTTCTTTCATTGAGAATTTCGGAATATGGTCGAATGGATGCGATGATGCTCCTTTTTACATTCGCACTTCGCTCCCAATCATTGTCTAACTTACAAAGTTCAACCGCCAAACTTTTCCTAGTTGAAAGAATACGTTAACCCGACGTAGAGCTACAGACGAGCGGAAACACTAATTGGTCGACCACCAGTCGCCGTAGCACATATGTAAGGTCAGTTTGAGCAGGAAAATTAAGGAGAGATAGATATCGACTGGCCAACGAGAAGTAGATTTGTCTCACTAACAATAGTTTTTGATCGTCGGAAGTGCTACTGTGTCGTAAGGTGTTTTCCTAAATGAACTGATACGGGATAAATTCAATGGCGCTATGGATTCGAACGCCATTTATTGGACTATTAAGTTTGATAACTTGACTTGTGGGTACCTAAACATTTAGTATTTTAATATTAATTTAATACAAATGTATACATACCCAATAATATTAAACAGAAAAAATAAATACATTCAATAAAAATCTTTGTTTTAATGAATGTACAATGTCGCGGCTCGGTAAATAAGTCAACACTGTAACGAAAATCAGTCTGGCATAGGGAAAATCAGGGAATTACACAGCAAAATCGCGAATTGTGCAGCGGCGTTATTGTGAATCAGCGTAAACCGAGGGCTACCTGTATATCTGTTCATCTGTTTTATGTTTGTTAACACTTCATAAAGATATATTGTATTTCATATAAAAAATAATATTTTATAAATATTATTTTTTATATGAAAAAATAATATTTTATAAATATTATTTTTTATATGAAATACAATATATCTTTATGAAGTGTTAACAAACATAAAACAGATGAACAGATATACAGGTAGCCCTCGGTTTACGCTGATTCACAATAACGCCGCTGCACAATTCGCGATTTTGCTGTGTAATTCCCTGATTTTCCCTATGCCAGACTGATTTTCGTTACAGTGTTGACTTATTTACCGAGCCGCGACATTGTACATTCATTAAAACAAAGATTTTTATTGAATGTATTTATTTTTTCTGTTTAATATTATTGGGTATGTATACATTTGTATTAAATTAATATTAAAATACTAAACGTTTAGGTNCTTGGTGTAGCAGAAGGTGCCAGAGGCTTGTTTAGCCAGAGAATCTGCAGTTGTGTTGCCTTCCACACCAGAGTGACACTTTACCCAAGAAAAGGCCAGACTGTTTTGAGATTGAATTATTTCCTTATGGATTAAGTTGGAAAAGGTATCACTATCGTTCGTTAGCTTATTGATGCCACTTGGCTTTCCGAGCAAATCCTAATCCTTAAGTTCTTGACCCTAGATCTGTTAATGTACTTCAGGGCCTGATAAATTGCAAACTGTTCTGCTTGAGTTATGGTGCAGATTTCAGCAAGCTTGAAGCTTGCCTAATAGGAAGTATTATTTTTATTGTCTTTAACTACAAAGGCAGAACCCACTTTGCTTTGACTTTTCGAGCTGTCTGTGAAGATTTGTAAGTTTGGAGTAGGGTTACCATAGAAATCAAGGAGGGAGCTGTCTCCTGCTAAGCTGGGGTGGGAAGCAGGAATCTTGATTTTCCCATTCAAGTTTGGTATGAGCCAACATAAGGGATTTTCATTTAAGTTAGGGAAGAGACCAATCTGTATATATTTGTACACTTCACTTTCAGGATTATTAATGATACCCCCGTTAAGAAGATGTCACTTCCACATTTCTTCTTTCGCTCTAATGTGGAGTGGAAGAACCCCAGAGAGAACCTGAAGAGATATATTATTGAAAGAGTGGCCCCGTAAGATAATGAAAAATATTTCAAAAGGAGTGACAGTTAAATGTGTTTATTACAAATAACTGAAACTCAAACTTATATTATTCCTTTATTAAAACCATATCCAAACTTATAGTTAATAATACATATTGTTATATATCAGGGGTCACCAAAGTGGTTGATGTCGACCCCCTGGGGTCGATGCAGCTAGGGGGTCGATGCAACATCATTGGAGGGTCAATGCGGCTAGGGGGTCGATTTGGGGGTCAATGCGGCTAAGGGGTCAGAACCCTTTTTTTCTTTTTTTTGCTTGTACAGAGATCACAATGTTTTTTTTCCTCATACACTTACACTTGTAATAGAACTTTATGGTGATGGTCAATGTGAGGTTTTGGAAAGTGGTTGGGGGTCGACGGTTAAAAAAGTTTGGCGACCCCTGTTATATATAAATAAAGAGATGAATAAAGAGATATTTCTAAGAATTTTAAAAGTAAGCCTGAATAGGTTGTAAAAATTAAATTTATAATATAATAAATCCATTTTCATTATAAAGTGAAAACACTATATATTTAATTATACATTAACAAAGTCATTTTTTTTAAATATATCACTTATTTGTTACAGTAATATTTATGTCATCCCTTCACTATGTCATTGTTTGATATATATGTAATTGCAAAAGTGTTAAACATATGCAGCATATAATCTTTGCAAACATATATAAATAAATAAATAATAATACTAATAATATTAAAAAAATTAATACTTTCATTTTATTGACAAGACTATGTCTTGTTTATAAAATCGTACTGCCACTCAATATTATCAGCACAGAGGTATGAAGGAGTATATGTAGAGAGTTGATATTTGGCACAGAGTATTAGGTGCCCAAATCATTTGTGCATAAAAAAAATCCAGACTCGTAAGTAGTCAGGGGACCGAAAATCGAGTCAAAATAAAATCCAAAATGGCGACCCTCTTCTACAAACAGGCAAAACATCCATAGCATAAAAGGAGATGAAAACCCAGTCTACTCATAGGTATTGCCTGGGTGAGAAGAGAAGTAGAAAATAGGTTAAGGGAAGGCGAAGGCGAAGTTAAAGAAAGAAAGGACAGTAAGGTGATGAAAGAGGGAGACTCATAAGCGCCTGAATTGTATTTATTAAAATAACAAATAATAATAAACAAAATATAATGAAATACAAAGATTACATAGATGACAACTCGATGATACAAGAATTATGTACACGATTTACATCTTACAAAACTAGAACATTACAATCAAATAAGAAAATTGAAATATAATATAATATAAGATTACATAGTTTGTATGAAATAATTCAATGAATTATAAAACAAGCAATTACATAAGTAAGTTTTGTTACAATATATTACCAAATGTATAAACAGATATACACAAACAACATTCTTATTGTATACAAATGCAGAAATGCAGTAAGTAACAATCACATGTAATATAATAGCATTCGAATTACAATATTATATTATAATAACAAATGTGTTAATGAATTAATAGCAGAATTGTGAGAAAAGCTATTACATGAATAAATTTAATTACAAATCTTACATACTGTAAAACTAATAACTACAAAATACATTAGTTTTGTATACAAATACAGAAGAAACAATATCATGTTAAACTAATTTTATACATCCAAATTTTAAAAGTTAATGTATACAAACTATGCAAGTTGAAGAACACTAATTGTTGACGAAAGATGATTCCAAAGCTCCTGTGTCAGAGATAAATCACTCTAATGCTGCGAAGATGTCTGCATCTTCTACCAGTGCAGTTAACTGGCAGGGCTAGTTGAATCCTTTTCTTAGTACCACACCTTCCAGAAGAACTCTTTGGTTCT